GTACCAATATCATCAATGTTGTGAGCCTGAGCCAGGCTATGATCCGGCTTGTATCTATTATCCAGTTATCTGTTAATATTCCTCTAGGGATTGAAATCATTTTGAAGACTGCGGTGATGTGATAAACGCAATCTTCATGTGATATTGTCAATTCACATGTGATGTTGCCTTGATTGGACATCATTTGGTATCATTCCACCGTAAAGTTATTTTCGAACTCAAGTAGAATTTTAAAAAACAAAAGTATTTAGAGTGAGGCTTCTCAGTGTGTGCGACAATACCTCAAGGGAGTGTGGATGATGTCTGATAGAGAAGCGGAACGGAGCGATTTTGACGAAAAATATCGAAATTATCGCACTGTTTTTTCAGCCCTCTTTAATGTTCCAAAAAAATGTTGCGGACACAAGAGACAGTGCGACGTTGATTTGCTTGCAATTTTATCCTAAGAGGATGGCCATTGAAAGACCACTGAATCTGAGGCGTATGAATGTTTTATTTTCATGATCAATCAGCCGATCACAGCGATGTCATTGTAATGAAAAGCAGAATAATTTTTTGTATTGCACCTGTACTTCTAACATCAAGGGTACGGACAAGCATCAATTTTGGAAACGAAAGTGCCTCAAAAGTATCGTGTTCTTAATGGACGATACAACTAAAATAACACATCAATATCTAGAAGAAAGTATAGATACGATGGTATATCAGAAATTTTTGGTGTGATCGCATCACTAATCCATGATTAGCGATGAAAGTGGTTGCAAATTTATCCTAAGAGGATGATGAGCTTAATTATGAATCGTGTTTAATTATGAACTCGTTCTAACCAAGATATCCGGTTGTTTTGGCTGCTTCACATCTGTTCATTACTTGTGTCACACCCTTTCCAGCCATACAAGTCATTTTCTGTAAAATGAGTGTAAATGCGACTTTAACAACACGATTGAGCATTATATATTTTGAGTACATCGATATGTCAATAAATCACATGAGTCACGAACAAATCTCTCACGAAAGCCAACGAACGTTTNTGAGTACATCGATATGTCAATAAATCACATGAGTCACGAACAAATCTCTCACGAAAGCCAACGAACGTTTGATATCTCGTTCGAGATTTTCTATCCAACGTAATACCGTAACAACAAAACAATTAAGTGATTAGAACCATTGTGGCAATCGATACAGTGATAACAAAAACAGCAACATTCCTAGCTACGATGATCATAATTACTGTTGCCCTCACTTGCTTGGGGCAGTCATAATTACGATGATAAAATCAATTATGATAACGACGATCAAAAGAATATCCACTAATGGAACAGAATTTTATGCTATCATTAATATCAATAAAAAGTTTTCTGAAGAAAGTAATCAAAACAAGGCAAGGAATTCAACAACAGAATGAGATTGTTTATTGCTTAGTGATTGTTGTTATTATTAGCAGTTCAGAAGCAGCAGCAGATCTGTGCGATGAGCTAAAGATAATAGCGATGAATAAGCTGGGAAGATGAGCATAAGGATGAGTGAGTGATATACAGAATGGATTGATAGGTTGGACAGTGAGTGAAATCAAAATCTGATCGTGTCGATGTGATGATCATTTGAAAGTAAGCATTCTAGGTACAATCCGGTGTGCATTGGTGAGTTGTGGAAGANTCGATGTGATGATCATTTGAAAGTAAGCATTCTAGGTACAATCCGGTGTGCATTGGTGAGTTGTGGAAGATGCGGTTACTTTATATTTGATTGCGTATGTTTATAATAACTTTAAGATGAGCAATTTCTAAGGTAACAATCAATGTTTTAGCAGAAAGCTCTGAAATCTGCAGCATCATTACTACTCATTTATAACACACACACACACATTACGTTTCATGTCGTTTCTTCAGGCGGCCCTGAATGAAAAGTACCTCTAGAACAAAAACGTACGCACAACAGTCTTGACTTTTTTGCTATGCCTTTACTGCTGCCTTTGCGCCAGAGATAATATGTGAGCGAATTGAGATCATCATTTAAATGCTTTATTTTCCAGTTGTACATAATCAAACACAAATATTTGCAACCGCTTCGAATCGAACACAATCAATTGTTCGCTGAAATGAAACATCGCCTCATCAGAAAGGTGTTGAACCATAAATGATATCATTCTGCTCTCTATCTTGATACCGTTGTGCTAAAGGTGCGCGATTATCAGTTGGAACATTCATGTAGTTGGTACCATTCAAGCTGTGCACTGGATAAGTTGACATGCTCAAACGTTGCATTGAGCTCGTCCTATCCAAAGCTGCGAATTCTTGTGCATCTAAAATCGATCAACCATTCAAATACAGTTATCGGCTTGCATATGATTAACATTTAGATACTCGTTTGATGAAATTTTTTGCAAAGCTTTTTCAAAAATAAGATTCCTTTTCTTCTCAACAACCCATTTATCTACTAATTCGAGTATGAGGATATTCGAGATACGAAACAATGAAAGTGGGGGTTGTGTGTTTTGTTTTGATGCTGATGAATAATTAGAGCTTGGGAAAGAAGAATCGCCTTCGAGGTGTAAGACGATGAAGAACTAAATTGCCGCACAACAATGTTACGTACGATAAATATCCGAACTCGATTGATTAATTAAGATCAGTGCAATGGAAACGATCAAATTGTTGTAAACGAACCGACCACTCGTTCAACACAAAAACAAGCATAAAAAACGTGATGAATGAACAATTTCAGTTACTTATGGTGAATATTACAAACGGTCACCTGGTCCCGAAACAATTTTAACAGTCATATAAAGCGTATCTCTGAAAAACATCTCAAACGCAACCATCAGCAATCCCAACCCGAAAAGAACCTGAA